AAAAATAAGAAAAAATAGAAAAAATTTTAAAAATAAAGAAAAATTTTAATTTCTAAAGTCATTCGTAAAGTAATAAACATCTATAGCGTAATTTTTCGTAATTAAATGCCAACAATTATATAAGCATTGACCCTATATATTATAAACGTAATGTATGTATATATGTATATGTATATTATGTATAGGCTTCATATGTATTATATGTATATACATTTTTATGAGAAAATAACCATTAAATAATCAGAACTATCCATCATACAGAATTCCAATATCAATTAACTAGGCAAATGTTGCTCCAGATTATAAATTATTCACACTCGATAGCTCACAAACACCAGAATTGTTGCCATAAATTGAATAGCCACAAGAACAGCAGCTCTTTGCTTTCTGTGCGGGGCCATAACTTTTATGCATTTTCGTAATTAATTTGCTGCTTATCTGTCGCATGATCGATAAGCGCGGAGCGAGAATAACAGCGATAATGATTTGCTTTCATAAATACCAGTGCTACGATTTGGTACTGAAACGACCCAGGTTTCGCTTTGGCCATAAACCTTTTAGTTATGGCACCCCCCGAGATCTAATCAGTACTCGATAGTTTGCCATATAGCGGACTTATAACGCTTTCAGCTTATCAGCACGTCATACGGCAGTGTCGGGTGCAGTGCATAAATACAGGTGTAACTAATCCGCAGTCGCAATCGCCAGCGCACCGTCATGATGAGCAGAACCCTAACACTCTGCTGCCTGCTGGGCCTTGCACTGCCCGTCGCCTTAGCCGAGCTGGGCTGGTGGCGCTCAGCGCAGTTCTATCAGATCTATCCGCGATCCTTCAAGGACAGCGATGGCGATGGCATTGGCGACCTGGAAGGTGAGTGTGAATGCAAAGCAAATAAGGAATTAAAATTTTATTCAAATTGTTTCGGCCAGGCATTACCCAGCAGCTGAGCTATCTGAAAGAGATTGGAGTGACGGCCACTTGGCTCTCGCCGATTTTCACATCTCCGATGGCAGACTTTGGCTATGATGTGGCTGATTTTTACAACATCGACCCAATGTTTGGCACCATGGAGGACTTTGATAAATTGTTGGCACGCGCCAAGCAGCTGAACATCAAAATCATCCTGGACTTTGTGCCAAATCATTCGTCCGATGAGTGCGATTGGTTCAATCGCTCGGCGGCCGGCGAGGAGGAGTACAAGGACTTCTATGTCTGGCACACCGGCAAGGTGGTCAATGGCATCAGGCAGCCGCCGACTAACTGGATCAGCGTGTTCCGTGGCTCGCAGTGGACCTGGCACGAGGGTCGCCAGGCCTACTATCTGCATCAGTTCCTGGCCAAACAGCCGGATCTCAATTACCGCAATCCCAAGGTCGTCGAGGCCATGAAGGATGTCCTCCGCTTCTGGCTGCGCAAGGGTGTCTACGGCTTCCGCATCGATGCGGTGCCCCATGTCTTTGAGATTGCGCCCGATAAGGATGGCAACTACCCGGATGAGCCCCGCAATGTGCACGTCAGCGATCCCGAGGATTACTCGTACTTGCAGCACATCTATACGACGAATCAGCCAGAGACCATTGATCTGGTCTATCAATTCCGTGAGGTGATCGAGGAGATGAACGCGGAGCTGGGCGGCGACGATCGTGTGCTCCTCACCGAGGCCTACGCCCCGCTGGATGTCCTGATGCAGTACTATGGCAACGCCACCCACAATGGCTCCCAGATTCCGTTCAACTTTGAGCTGATCTCGAATCTGAATATCAATTCCGATGCCTACCAATACTCGGAGCTGGTGCACAACTGGCTGGACAACATGCCCGAGGGTCAATCGGCCAACTGGGTGCTGGGCAATCACGACCAGAGCCGCATTGGCTCCCGCCTGGGCGCCGATCGCATCGATTCCATCAACATGATGCTGCTGACGCTGCCCGGCATCAGTGTCACCTACCAGGGCGAGGAGCTGGGCATGACCGATGTCTGGATCAGCTGGGAGGATACCATCGATCCGCAGGCCTGCCAATCCAATCCGAACGAGTATGAGCGCCTCACTCGCGACCCAGTGCGCACCCCATTCCAGTGGAACGACCAGCCCCTAGCCGGCTTCACCACCGGCTCCGAGACCTGGCTGCCAGTCGCCAGCGACTACAAGCTGGTCAATGTGAAGCGGGAGCGCGGCATTCCACTCAGCCATCTGAATATCTACAAGCAGCTGCGTAATCTGCGCGACTTGCCCACTCTGAAGCATGGAGATGCCACTGTGAATGCGATTGGACCCAATGTGCTGGCCATCAAACGGTTAGTAATTTTAGCATTTTTAGTATTTTTAGTATTTTTTAGTATATTTTAGTATTTTCAGTATTTTTAAATATTTATCTATCTATAGGGCAAAAAGTCGTACATAACTCCTATAAATCTCAGCGACTCCTATAAATGGCGCTACTTAGTATATTTTTAGTATTTTTGTAGTATTTTTTTGTATTTTTTAGAATTTCCAGTACTTGTCGTTATCTTTTATTATCCTGTGGTATTTTTTAAGTATTTTTTAGAATTTGCAGTACTTTTGTCATCTTTCAATATCCTTCTACCTGCTGCTCGAATATTAACTAAGAGTTTGTCATTTCTAGTAGTATTTAGTATCTATTAGTGCATTCAGTATTTTTTTAGTATTTTTAGTATTTTTTATATATGCAATCAGAATCATACCATATCTAACATGGAAAAAGTCATTTATCACTGTTATTCATCTCAGCGATGATGTCAAGTCGAAAAAAGTCAATTATTACTGTTATTAATCTCAACGATGATGTCGAGTCGGTTATTTGTAGTATTTTTTCAGTATTTTCTAGTATTTTTCTAGTATTTTCAGTATTTTCTTAATAATATAATAATAAAATCCATCTACCTACAGCTCTCTACAGGGTGAAAAGTCTTACATAACTGTCATTAATCTCAGCGATGATGTCGAGTCGGTTAATCTGGATGCTGTGTTCGCTGGGCTCACAGCAGAACTGAAATACGTTGTGGTCAGCGAGAAGAGTCTGCGGCGCAAGGAGTAAGTCAGACAGTTTACTAAATACCAAAACGCTTAGTTTTATCTAATCTTCCTCTTGCTCTTCTAGTGACATCACCTTTGCCAATTCGGTGCTGCTGATGCCCAAGGAAGGCGTAGTCCTTGCCACTGTTTGAGGAGTATTAGCTGGAAAGAGTTCTTTCCATAAGCTTAATTTGTTTAGCTTATAAGCGAGTTGACTCTATTGTCAAAAAAATAAAATAACTGTGCATGGGTCTCTTTATCAGCTTATTAGGTTTAAGACCTCAATTAAGATTAACAATTGCTTCGATTGAAGCACTTAAATCGTGTCAAAGCTCATTAAAAACTGTTTTTATAGTTCCACAAGCTGTTATCATTGTTGTGAAATAAAATCTACAAAATAATCATAATTTCTTTCCCTTTATTTTTGGCAGATTGCCTGATATAAATATTATTAGCTGATTATTCATATCTAAATAAATAAAGTGTGAGTTATGTTAAAGGTCATAAAACAAACTTATCGCCTTCTTTTATTTCTTTTATTCACAGGGCATAAAATGCTTTCGAGTAAATGCCCCTCAAAATGAAATTGAATATTGCTTTAATAATGGAACATGAAAACTCTGCTCTAGATTTAACGTTAATCTTTATGAACCTCGTGGAATGCACTGATTAAGTGAAACGGATCTCGATGACTCAGGCCAGCCAGCGTAGTACGATTGCTTCATAGGGCATGAGCAGCAATCTCTTGCTCAGGTCAATCATCTCCCTGAAATGAGTAAAGCCAATGAGCATATATAATATCGAGAGTATATTTGGGGAATTAGCTAACCCAGGTCTGTGCCGCGAGTAGGCAGTAACCAGCATATACTCAAAGACCTTGTCTGTGAGGCCATCGATAATCTCCATGCCGTTGCCCATGTTGACAAGAATGCGATATTCCTCATTAAGATTGTTGGTGCTGTGGAGCAGAGCGAACCAATATGATTATAAATTTAGTATTTTCTGTATTTTATTTCAATTTATTTATTTATTTTATTCGACTTACCGCACAATCTGCAGCACCTGCTCCGTGAGGGCCTCGTAGGAGAAGCCATTCTTCTTCTTGAATGACATAAAGGCGGAGCTTTGCTTCAGCTGCTGCAGTCCCTTGAATACTTGCAGCGAGGAACGTGCCACGCCCCGTTCGGTTCGCACATTGAAACGCTCAAAGTACGGACTGACTGGCAGCCAGGTGCTGGGCCCTGTGGAGAAGCCGGCATTGCTAACCGGCGCCCATTGCATGGGTGTGCGTTCGCCGTCGCGGTCATCGCAGGAGACTTCCGTGCACTCCGTCTCCACATTCGACATGCCAATCTCCTCGCCATAGTAGGTGACCGAGGCGCCGGGCAGCGCGTTCACAATTACATTCAGCAAATCCACTTTGTGGGCGCCCATGCGATTCGCCACGCGCTGCGTATCGTGGTTGCCCACCACCCAGTTGGCTGTCTGGTGCTGCGTCCACATCGTCTGCATCCAGTAGTCAATGGAGCCCACCACATCCCTGGCCGTCGAGTAGCCGCTCAGGTACATCAGCTGGAAGTTCATGGGCAGCTGGGTGCCCAGCCGCGTGCCGTTGCCAAAGTAGGCGCTCAGGGTCTCCACCGGGCTGTAGGCCTCGGCGAGCAGCACTCGGGTGGGGCCGCCATGCTCCTGCTGGTACTTGATCAGATAGTCGCGCCACTCGTACATTAGCTCCACAGTCTCCGGCTGATCCTTGGTGTAGATGTGGTCCAAGTAGTCGTAGCTATTCGGATCACTGTTCCAGCCACTCAGCGGCTCGTCGCGATAGCTGCCATCGGCGTTGCGGTGCTCGAAGATGTGCGGCACGGCATCGATGCGAAAGCCGTCCACGCCCCGATCCAGCCAGAAGCCCAGCACGTCCAGCATGTGCTCTCGCACCATGGGATTGCTGAAGTTCAGGTCGGGCTGCTTCACCTGAAACTGATGCAGGAAGTACTGCTGGCGCGTCTCATGCCACGTCCACTGTGAACCGCCAAAGACACTGACCCAGTTGCTGGGCGGCTCGCGTTCTCCTGTCTCGGCGTTCAGCTTGCCATCGTGCCACACATAGAAATCATCGTAGCCATCCTCGCGATTGACGGACTTCTGAAACCATTCGCATTCATCGCTCGAATGGTTCGGCACAAAGTCCAAGATGATCTTCAGGCCCAGTGCTTTGGCCTCCACCATCATCGCATCGAAGTCGGCCATGGTGCCGAAGATTTCGTCGACCTCCTTAAAGTCCGATATATCGTAGCCGAAATCGGACATGGGCGACTTGAATATCGGCGACAGCCAAGTGGCCGTAATGCCGATTTCCTTCAGATAGCTCAAGCGCTGGGTTATGCCCTTCAAATCGCCCACGCCGTCGCCATCGCTGTCCTGAAAGGATCGCGGATAGATCTGATAGAGCGCCGCGTTCTCCCACCAATCGATGTCCGTCGAGGCGGCTGCGCTCCCCACGACTAGCGCTGCGAGCAATCCGAGAAGTAATCGCGTCGACATGTCGCCCGCGTTTGAGTGTTGCAAAATCAATTAGCTAATAACAATTGCTTTGCCATGTTCCGTTATGGATTGCGGCGATAAGGCCCAACTTAAAAACGTCAACGGCCCTC